GCGCTAGACCGTCCCTAACTTTAGCAGTGTAAGACTAGAGGGAAGGCAGCTAGTCATCACCACCCACCGCCAACTCTTGGCTACTCTTTACCTAACGAATAGTGGGATTGACCGTCACATTATAACGCCCCCACGGCTGAAAGGGCGAGCATGTTTGGTGTGACGGGGATTCGAACCCGCGACCAGCAGATTGCGAGTCGAGCGCCCTAACCACCTGGCCATACCGGGCCTGTACAGGCAGTAAATCGCTTGTATAATTTATGATAAAAAGTTTATTCTTGTAATGATAAACAGGAAGCATATAAGAAACCATACTATTAAAATTTATAAACCAAATTACCTTACGTCAATGTATATTATTTGTTTGTTTGCTTGCAGTTAAGCACAAAGCTGCAGAATGGGCTATCTGTGCTCTGCCCACCACGGGTATTGAAACCCGGTTTCTAGGGTTTCAAGTCCGCAGACATACCGCTGTGCCACACATATTATTTTTTACAGAACTGTACAGAATTATTTTGTATATTAAATTGAAATTATTTTGACCATATATTGTTTAGTATAGGTATGACTATTTGATTTGAATTTTTATAATAAACCATTATTACTGCAGATATTAAACAGAAAATACTCCACAGAATCGCGCAGAATGTCAAACTTTTTAAGTAGATATCTGTTTATAATCTTCGCAAATACTGCAAGCCTGGTAAGGCTTGATGGCCAGGAAACTCGACTCGCGATCTGAGGGTCACAGGTTCGGGTCCCGTCACCGAAAATACTTGCCTTCTCAGCAGTGGGGGCATTATAAAGTGACGGTCAATCCCATTATGCATTAGTAAAGCGTAGCCCAAAACTTGGCAGTGAGTGGTGTTGACTAACTGCATTCCCTCTCGTCTACCACCTCAAAATTAGGGATGGCTAGGGCAGATAGCCCTCATGTAGCTTTGCGCGAAATTTAAGAAACTAAAAAAAAGATTCTGCACATTTTTATGCGTATTTGGACTGCCCCTAAAGCGAAAGAGCACAGAGGTGCGTCCTATTAAGTCATTTATGTGTGCATGTTTCTTTCTACGCTTTTCGTCATAGTAAAGACAATGAAGAGAAAATGGGAGATTTCTGAACCTGTTATTATATAAAGGAAAATAATATTTCATTGGGTAATTTTGTTAAACTATTTTAGCTGCTATGTATCAATGTTTTAGCACCCGTTTAATGGTTTTAGTTGCTATTGTTTTCCTTTAATGTGATGAAAAGTCCTGATCAATCAAGTAATCCAAATTATAATATTTAAGCAGCTTTTGTAAGCGACCTGTGGTGAATACTGAAATGCTAAGAGGGTTTTGATAGTTCATAGCAAGTGATATAACAACTTAAATCTAGAAGTTTTGAGGAGTTATTTGTTTATTGTAAAGCACAAAGCTACACAATAGGGCATCTGCGCTGTGTCTACTGAGAATCGGACCCTGTATTTTAGCGTTATAAGCCCTTAAAGCTTACCGCTGAGCCAGCAGGAGACCTTTTGAGAACATAATAACTTTGTATGATTGTTTGTTGTTAAGTTGCACTATTGCCTACCACAATGATCGAACCCCGATTTTAACTTTGTAAGCCCTCAAGTATACTATTGAGACATCTGAGAGCAGTTGTATTTTTCCAACAATGTAGCTCAATGGATGGAAAATATTCGTAATAAATTGCCACTTTTCTTTTTATCTAATTACGATAGCTTTTGAAACTAGTGTTCACTTTTTTAGTTATTAACTTATAAATATGACAGTGAGCAATTATGAATTACTATCGCAACCAAAAACCAGCACCAACGTTTCTCGTGGCTGTTATTTCACCACGAAAACATTTTATAGCCTCGTTAGTTATCAAACATGTCGTCATATAGACGTCATATCAAGGCCGTCTGAGGACGCTGCAGTAATCCTTGGTAGATACGAGAGAGTAACATAGTCTAGTGTCCGAGTTCATTGGTTAGGTAGAACTCGAAGCTTGGAATTAATATCGATTTTGTTCAGTTTGTAATTACATTGTCTACCAAGCCGTTCTCTCCACAACTATCCGGATCATTACCTTGGTAAGTGCAGCATTACATTCATTATGTATTTGTACTGTATGACTCCCTAAATATTTTTTGCCTCGAGCAAATACTATATCGTGTTACAGGCATCATTTGTTGACGCGTATTTTTCCAACTCCATTTCCTAATTTAGCATTGAGTGGGGCGGGAAGTCGGTTGACTTGATATTGTGTGGTACTGGAACTTCTGGAAGTTGAGCTTAAGTTCTATTGCTAATTTTAGTAATAGTAGTATAACTATTAGTACTTAAACGTTTGGTTGCTCAGATTATAACCATGAATTTGATTAGAAAGTAACTTAATGGTATAATTATTCGGACTATTAGTATTATTCTCGTTTTATTTTGTGTATTATTATTTTTACAACGTTTCGACCAGTGAATTCTCCTGACAAGGAACGCGTTTCGATATTCAAATACCTAATATAATACAATTAATTAATTAACTAACAACAAGTATTGCTAATCTTAAATTGCAAGCGCCTGTTTTTCATAGGTCATGTGCTAACATTCGACAGAACTAGATGACATTGCTTCATAACCAGGGTAGTTCAGACGAGTTTAAACTAATAAAGGGACTAGAGGAGGTGACCTAACCTATACTATTTTAGATGACGAGGAACCCACTTTGAGACTAATAATGGCTGGAGACGGCTTGAATGGGTAATGATGACAAAACCTTGTCGAAACGTTGTACATTTGCTCTTATGTTAAGCTTATATTAAAGTTTTTCTTTATTACCCATTCAAGCCGTCTCCAGCCATTATTAACCTCAAAGTGGGTTCCTCGTCATCTAAAATAGTATAGGTTAATAATGGCTGGAGACGGCTTGAATGGGTAATGAAGAAAAACTTTAATATAAGCTTAACATAAGAGCAAATGTACAACGTTTCGACAAGGTTTTGTCATCATTACCCATTCAAGCCGTCTCCAGCCATTATTAGTCTCAAAGTGGGTTCCTCGTCATCTAAAATAGTATAGGTTAATAATGGCTGGGGGAGGGGTGGAGGG